GATAACATTGTTTAAAGTAAAGCACTGTTAAAATGGTTTGATTGCAACGTGATTCCTGCAGGAACACGTCACATGTGTAATCTAAGTTTACAATTGCAAGTTCTGTAGTATAACATCACTGTTGAAATGAAAGCTAAATTATTAAAAGGCATGACTGTTCAGAGTACCTGCTGTAAACATCATAAATGCTCTTGTGACTTGCTAAAGCTAGACAAAATTGCATGTCTCCAAATGTAGTTGTGCAAAATTATAAAATCACGTTTGGTTTCAGTAAACTGAGTAAACTCAATTCAGAATCCTATTACAACTTTGAAAAATAATTCTACTTAGAAAAAAAAATGTTCAAATAAATTGAGGCAATATCATCATCAGCCAAGACATATATGGCTCATAAACATTGTAATATTCCTAATAAAACTAATAAAAAGTTGAAAAATAATTTGTATAAACAGAAAACAACAAATGCGCTTAACTTTTCAAAGCTTCCAGCTCTCAGATATTGTCAAAAAATACCTGCTTAAGCAGCACTTAATCACAGGCTATCAATAACTAGCCATTTTTCAGTGACCTCCTCAACTTGTTTGGTCACTATTGGATTACGAAGACGCACTTTCACCTCCAACTTGCCACCAACAGCCTTCCGCCCATCCATAAGCTAAAATAATACACAAGAAAAATATTCTTTTTAAAGAGTGTCTTAGAGGGGAGTTATATTACAAGAAAATTAGAGAAACTAGATAACTTACATCAAATGAGTCATGAATGATGCATTTGCTCTCCAGAGACTGAAGTTTTACGTTGACGGTCCCTAAGAGGGTATCACTTCGGAAAAATCCACTAAAACAAAAATAGAAAAATTGTTGGTTAGACTACAGTGGAAAATGTCTTCAAAACAACAAGTTGCAGTAGCTGATCTCGCACTTGCATGTTAGCATGACAGAAATTGTATTGATCCTCGAAGGAGGTAAATGGACCAATAGTGCAAAATTTTTTAAAAAGCAGGTGAATTCAGAAGTTGCCCACAGATCATGCAAGACTAAGACTTATGCATTACCTAGGCTCTGAATTTGGTGCCCCACAACAGAGAGATATCAGGAATGCCCTGCAACCACAACAGCAAGAACTTCAAGCAAATAGAAAATAAAGAGAAACCTACTCTGAACCAACTATTAGAAATGGATGTGGTTGAAGAAGATTACTTAATCAGATGAAGTGATCTTCTTAAAAAACACATACTCAAGGGCCATAAACATGAAAGGTTGAGGGCACAACTAACGTTGAGTCAAGCAAACAGTGGAAAATATGCACACCCAAGCATCAGCAATCATCAGAGTGAGGAGATTTTGTGCTTCACAATTAAGAGTAACACACATCACACACATCACATATCATGCATAACATGCCCAAATGACGTAGAGAACACTTCAAAACATTTAAGTACTGGTAAAAGAAAATGTACCCAGGCACCATGAGCATGAATTTAGTTTACTCTTCAGCTAAGTCCTAATTCTATTCTGAAAAATTCTAAAACAATTCTAAAAACTTATCAGAAACAATTTTATAATATTTTCGCTAGTACATAAGGGTAATTGTATACAGATTTAAAATAATAACAAACTAGTAAGCCCACAAAAAAATATTAATTTAAGAAATGAAGGACTCAGATTTCTAATAAAACTACATAATATTAAGCTTATCAAGTGTAGTGTATTACTCTACAATTTGTTACATGGTTGGCTGAGGCTGACCTACCAATGCAGTTATTCATTTGAAATACAATTGTACACTATAATACATGCGTATATGTCATGAAGAGGAAACAATTTTTTATTTTTTTTTAAATGCCAAATAAAAGCTTTAATGGCTGGGTACTCACCCTCTAGACCACACTTCACATTTGATTGCATGCCTCTTGAATATCCTCTGACAAGCTCGAGAGTTGCGCTGAATTTGTAAGTTAAATTTCCCATCATACACCGGGTTGTTGGTATCTTTTATTAGATTTGTTCTATCTTTTTGTGGTTCTTCCTGTAAAAAATAGTACAAAGAGAGTTTTAACTACCAATAGGAAAGATGAAAAGATGAATGGGACTGTATTACTTACTGCACTAGGCCATGGAAGTTCAAAACGAACATAGGTATCAACATCTTTTGGGTTAGAAACATTGTAATTTATTCCCTGCACAATAGTGAGTTCTAAGTCATTATCCATCAAATCAGTGCAGCACCTGAAAAGTAAAGTAGATAAGTATTAGATTAGATTTTAATTTATGCACTAGGTTCGAATTACGTGTACTTACTGCACAATACTAAAACTTCGATTCTCGTAGTGAAATCTTGGAACAGAATCTTTTCTCTTAAAGGCATGTTTTATTGCAACCATGTCTTTCTTTGAGTGAACTGCCATGTTCTCAAAACGATTAGCACTAGCAATATCTCCAATAGCTTTGAAATGATCTCGAGTTGTTATGCATGTCTGTAAAGGTATTTTAAATCATGAAGTTAATTAATTATCTGAAGAATTGTGAAATGATCAAGTAACAGTTCCACCCAGAAATTTTACGTAAGCCCACACCTGCACTTGTTTCTGAAGGTCCTGCACCAATTTTTCATAAATTTCATCATCTGTGCCAGCAACACAATCTTCAGCTGCAATAACATCAAAATCTGATTCTAACTCCACCTTTGCATTTGGAGGCACAGGGAGCTGAAAAATGATATGGTCAATTATAATTTAGTTATTTTTTGTTAGAATTTTGTACTTTTGATAGAGATAACATGATAATTTATGGACATACAGTCTTTAGATCAACTGGTAGACCACTTTGTGTAGCTTCCAAGAGTTTGTCAAAACCTTTAGCAAGTCGTAAGTACTCTTTTGCTTGATTGATTTCACCTCTAGATTTTGCTTGGAGAGCAGCAACTCTAAAATCCTTCTGTCTTGCTAGGAGGAGAGCTAGCTGCTTCTCTTGCCGTGAAGCTGGTGATTTGCGAACTGAATGGGAAAATTAAGTGATAATCAAAAAAGCTTTTGAAATTCAATTCAAGCAGAGAAATAGTCAGAAATTATGTGGCTTACCATTTGGCTTAGGAGTAGACCCCGAGGCAACAGGACTGGGTGGTGACTGTCCTTCTGATTCAGGTGGTGGAGTGCTAGGCCTTGCTGGAGCAGGTCGTGCTACAGTTACATCTATGGAAGCTGGTGGTGCAGGGGTAGGAGTCGACACCGGGGCTAGCACAGAGGGCGGTACAGGGGGGGCATCACCAGGAATAGGGATAGGGGCAAAACCTGGAGCAAAATTCGTGACCTGAATGTTTGACATGTTACTTATTTTCATAAAAAGAGTAAAAATTAAAGAGCATACCTGGTGGGTTTGGTAATTCATCTGCTGCAAATGGTTTGCCAGCTTTGTGCCTCTTTATAGCGTCCTGGTATTGTTTCACTATTCTTCCATTCTGACGTTCTTTCCTAGAATTGCCATCAGCCTTGGCAGCAGCTTCTTGCTTTTGATAAAGCTCTAATCTTTGGGTGAGGGCTTCCAATATTGTTTTAGGTACTGATGGTGCTGTGAATATACAATAAAGTCAAATTTTATATCCAAGAGTGGCGTTGGTTCCTACTTAGCACCACTTCTAACGGGCAGTCTAGGAAGGTGCTGAGGACTTGAACACTAGAGAGTCCACTTTTCTTATCATTATTTAGCATATTAGGTTCAACTGTATCTTGTACATACCTTCAACTGCGTGGGGTGGTTGAGGAGGTGCTGGAAGAGATGAAGTCTGATGATCATCTTGTTCTCGAGCTGGTTCAGGTACTGCGGAGGCAGTAGCTTGTACCTGAATTTGCCCAGGTGAGGGTGGCATTTCACTGAGGTCTGCTGGCTCTCCTGCCTTCACACCTTCAATTACTACATCAAATTGCTTAAAAACAAAAAGGGATAGGCTGAGCAAAGTTGCAGAGAAACATGTTAATAATGACGAAATAGTCTGCACAGTGCTGTACCTTGACAATCTGAGCATATCTTAAAGCATCTTGCTTGTTTCCTGCCCGTTTTGAGGCAACAGCAGCTTGACGATATTCCGACCGTCTCTCTTCTAATTTCAAAACTATTTGAGGATCAACAAATGGTTTTGTGTTCTCCTCAGTCACTGGCGCAACCTGCTCAGGAGGTGACGGTTCAACAGGAATTGTGTTGTCATCAAGTGTTTTGGGAGTGTTGTCCGTTTCCATTGCTTCTGTGCCCTGAGATTCCTCAGTGACTGTCAATTCCTGAGGAGGGGGTGGTGCAGGTCGCACTGGTGCAGCTGCTGCAGAGAAGAGGAGAAAAGTGATGAATATTGATTTGTTGCAGTGGATTGTCAAATTCTGAAATAGGTAACTCTTGTGTCAACAGGTGCCTCAAATTACTCCATCCCACCTGCTGTTGCTTCTGGAGTTCCAGAAGTTGCTGCAGAAGTAGCATTATCACCAGAGCGCACTGAAACAGGAGGAGGAATATCTTCCTCCTTTATAGGTCTACCATTCTGAGCAGATTTTATTTGGTCTACAAGTGTCTTAGCACCCCGTCCAAACCTGTAACAATAATTTTAAAAAAGTTTGTTATTTATCCTTTTTGATCAAAAGAAGAGAAAAGCGGTGGATGAGAACCTTCTGGCCCTCGAAGTTTCTCCAGATTTTTTTGCATTTGCCTCTGCTGTTTGATACATCTTAAGTCTCTCTTCAAGCAAAGGCAATAATGCATTGGATCCTGCTTTGGGAGTTTCTGGAGTTGGGGAGACAGCAGGTGACTGGGGTTCTTCATCCTCATTGTTTTCTGTAGTCAAGTCATTAAGCTCCCCCTAAAATTAAGTAAGTAAAAACATTTTAGAATGTACACATAATCTAAGAATGAGAAAGAAATTGTTCAACAAAATGTCTCCTTACCAAGAGATCTGGGTCGTTTTCATCTACAGAATCTTCATCTTCATCATCTTCATCTTTTACACTTTCTTGTATCATTCTATCCAAATCAGCCTGAGGGATTAGCTTTGGACGGGCTGTAGAGATGGAAATAAGCAAACAAATGTAAGTTGATACTAGTAACAAATTAATAAATTGATAATGATAATAAAGTGGTGTTGTGTCACCTTTCTTTGGTTTTGATGACGAATCTGATGTCAGTGCAAGCAGCTCCGCTTCCAGATCATCATCATCTTCATCATTATCAACTTGGCCCATACCCGTTGAACCATCGAAGTTCATATCCATAAAGCCAAACTAAAAGAAAAAGATGCATATTACAGTCCTACTCAAATGAGAAGACCATGGACTAATCTTCAAAATCCTTTGTGCATCTTAGACAACATGGTAGTAGGGAAACATACAAGAAAAGCAAGGTGACAGTTAACTGTCATAATTGCAGCATTTTCCAAAATGATGGATAGTAGTTGACTATTTATTGCAATTCACAGGGCGTTGCATGAAAATTGTGCCAACAAAGAATGATCATTGTCATGTCATGACATAACAATTGCCATGAATCATCCTGCATCATCCATGTACGTTCTGACGAAAATATATGCACCTCAAATGGCCGTCAAAAATATTAAGTAGAACCTACTTGAGATAGATTTTCCCGTGGAGTTCGCCTCTTCTTAGGCTTCTCATCCTTCCGCCCAAACATTATGGAACTGTGCCTTTGTTTCGGTTGAGGTATCAAAAATACTCTTTTCTGGCGAGAGACATCAAAACATTACTTTATCACACTATCACTGCGACAAAACAAACCATCCTAACCTACCTTTATAATTTCCGAAGCGTAGGTTAGAAAATACGTATATGACAATTTCAACCAACCCGCTCAATGTAATATTCTCATTATTTAGTGCTGTTTGGGTAGAAGAAGAAATAACACAGAATCATAGAATCAGCTGTCTGTCACTTGGCATCTTTAAAGTTTTAGCGCACATTACAGTGCAAATAGACTGATACGAATTTCTTGTTATCAAGCACGTTTTTTTATCTCCACACTCTGCCTCTTTTATAGCTCTTTACGGTAAAATAACGGTGTTTCATAGGGTGATATAACGGCTACGTCAATGTAAATAAACAAGCTGCAGGTTACAAAGGTTACATAGAGATACAGGTAAACTCCATGACAACTACCTTTTTTAAAAGCAATTTCAAAACTGTATATTTTGAATCTACCCTGTTGTGATATGGAAATAGTGTTGAAACAAATTATACTACTTTTTTCATGTTGCTATTATGTTGTCCAATGAGAAAGTGCAGGTGTTAATTTGCTTGTAACACACTGCATTATGTATGTTCTGTCATTCAAAGAAATCCTTGCGTAAGAATTTATTTGTGAATTTTCAACAAATTTTCAGAGTTTGAAAATGGATGTTCCTCATGATGGTACTGGGCTATCTGCCGAACTGCCTGAGGAGTATGTGGAGGATATCACAGGATCAGTTCTGCTACTGCAAGTCATTGGTGCATCTTCAGCATGCGCCATGATATTTGGTGGAGTTGTACCATTTATTCCCCAGTATTATGAAATTAAACGAACCAATAATTCTGATGGATTTTCATTGTATGTGTGTTTAGCACTGTTAGTCGCAAACATATTAAGAATTTTATTTTGGTAAGTTGGAACTAGAGCAGTGAAATAAAATTATTAGTACTCTGATCTAGTTTCTTTAATATTTGTTGTTTTACATTCATTTATAGGTTTGGAAAACGATTTGAAACTCCTCTTCTCATTCAGAGTATGATTATGATAGTAACCATGATGGTGATGATAAGATTGTGTGTTGAAGTGCGCAGAAATCATGTAATTCTGAAGGTTCGTGACCGTGTCTTGTCAGGTAAGGAACAGTTTTCAACTGATAGCAGTTCAATAGTACTGCACTGAATAAGGTATGGAACAGTCAACAGCAGGAGCTAATTTTCTCCTTTTGTCCCTACTGCTTTATTAGCAAACGAGGATATTATGGAAAGAAAAAGTGAGTATGCGTGTAGTGTTTTCCATGTTTGTCCGAAAAAATTCTTCAGCTAGATTACATATCTTTTGAACTGTATGGTTGTGTAATGTCAACATAAATATTTTGCCATAATAATCTCTAAGGACAATTCAGTATCATCTTTGCGTTATAAATTTTACTGTAACACAGAAGTTGCCTTTCTTTGGATTTGGCATCAATTACTTCAATCTATGTCCAAGCAATCCAGAGGTCAGCTGTGTCAGCTATTGTGATATATTGTAGACTATATTTTACTTTTTAAAATGTCAGATCACAATCTTTTAAAAATGTGTTACAAGTGACATTTTAAGTACTATATTTGACTTGTATCAATCAAGTGGTTACATAAACGCATACTCACGGTAGTCTAAAATCTAAATTATTAATCATCATTGTATCCAACAAACATTTTCATTTCTTTTTGTATCTTCTCCAGATATGGACCTGCGCTTCTTTTGGAAATGGACAGATTTCCAGTCTTATGTGGATTGTACAATGCTCATGGCCATAGTTGGCTCCATTGTTACATACATGCTTCTGGATGTCCCCATTTTTGTAGAAATTCTTGGATTTAGTGCACTTTTAACAGAGGCCCTCCTAGGGGTTCCTCAGCTCCAAAGAAATTACATATCAAAATCTACTGAGGGTATGAGGTGAGATTGTTTTGATTTTTCCATTTAAAAGAAAATTAACATATCTTGAGCACATTTCTGAAAGCAATTATTTTGTTTCAGTGTTACCATGGTTCTTATGTGGACAGCTGGTGATGTTTTCAAGACTCTGTACTTTTTGGTTCGTGATGCACCATTCCAGTTTTGGCTTTGTGGGATTCTGCAGGTATCTGTAGACATGGCAATATTATCTCAGGTCCATCTGTATCGACATAATGTCCCTGCTCACCACAGTAGCCGCTCTGATTAGGATCCTTGCATTTGCGTCTACTACATCAACTCACTTTAAGGTAAATCAATAGTTTGTAAGCTTCTCGTTCATTAGCGTTTTTTTTCCCCACACAACCTCTAACTTTTTAGGACCCTTGATGTAATGGAATGTGACCAAGATATCTATCCATCAGCAGATAATTTATTCAATCAATAGGTTATACCTAACTATGTACCTTACACCGCAAATTTACTGATCTCAAAACTATTTTTTAGCTGGGATAAGGATTGTTTGATAAAAAGAACTATTTTTTTTAGCTCAGACATGGAAGATTTGATAATAAGGTGCAAAATTATTTTCTGCATGACTCTTGTAATGTATTGCTTTATGGGATATAGCTTGAGACTTGACCTCAGTTTTAGTCATGTTTCAGTCAAAGCGTTAGGTCGAAACAAAATGCCTCATAAAAGTTCTTTGAAAGAGAGACCCTTTTTTTGTAAGCTAAGAAAAGATGAAAGATGTATGTGAAAGGTTTTCTGTTAGTTCACTGAAACATCAACAATGCTTCCTTTTTGATAGCTGTATCAAATATGCCCAAAATGTACAACACACTCTGCCTTGGGGATTGCCTCTAAACATGTAGGCTTCATGAATGTTATTTGGTTTACATGAAACCAGTAAAACTACACAAAGTTGGAAGTACAGCCAGTACCTTAATGTGTTAAAGGCCCATTGAATGTACTTACGTACTGGTTTCACTGACAAAATTCATGGCTGTGCACTTCTAGAATAAGTTTAAAAGAACTACAGTATTTATTTTCGTAGATAAACTTGTTAAATATCATTGACATTTGATCAATTTTTATTTTTGCCTAGCATCTTATTACGTAATGCTGGGCAAGTTAGCTTTCTACTTGTAGGAAAAAGATATTTCAGCAATCAAAGTGATAGTGCCATCACAATAAAATGCATATTCAGGAGCTTCCTGAAATCTACCCAATTGAGCAAATTCTTTTGGAGGTTGCAATTAAGCTCATGTCTCTTTAGACATTTCATCTTCCAGATTTATGCTTACTATCCCTCAATTTTTAAATTATTGCGAGAGAGTGGGAGGAATTTAAGAGCTATCACTGTAAGACTGACAGTCGTGGTGTGTGAGCTTCCCAATTTTCTTTTTCAATATTCTATGGTAACATATTGTATAAAACTAACTGGAGTACTGTAGTATTGTAATGGTAACACACCAATGCCTAAATGCATTTAGGACATGTTTTTAAAAATGAATAGTTAGATTACTATTTTCCCATTTACCTTTATGTACAAAATGTCTATTTGTAGCTAGTCAAAGGCACAATCAAGCGGTGATTACTGCATTCTGTTATTTATCCCAATGTTAACCAATAAGATGCAAACAACACTAATATTTTGCACTAGTCAATTTTATTGTGTACAGGAAATAAATGGATAGCTTAAGTTTGAGGTACTTTTTAATTTTATTGTTGACTAATATAGTCAATGATTGGGTAAGCAGCTTAAAACATTTGTAATCACACATTTTTTCTCATGCACACAGGTAAATTTTCTATCATATATACATATTTAGCAAACTGTTAGTATACAGTAGAGAAAACAAAAATATAAATAAAAAGGTTCTAGATCATTAAAAAATTACAAGACTGACATGATATACAGATAATTTCTATAAAATGAGACAAACTAACAATTAGGATAAGCAAGACTTGTCTCTTACAATTGATGCTAGTAATTCATGATCTTTCAGAGCAGAAACTCCTCAATCCACTGCATGCACACCTTCAGGATAGGCAAGACTTATCTCTTACAATTGATGCAAGTAAGTCACGATCTCTCAGAGCAGAAACTGCTTCCTCCTCAATCCACTGCATGCACACCTGACAACAAGAACATGCAAAATTGTATATTATTTTAATGTGATAAGCAGTTAAAAAATCTGGCATACTTGTAAGCTTTTACCCACCTTAGTCTGACGGCTCCGTTTACCCCTGCCAGGAAGAAGCAAAATGCCTCTGGCTTCCACCAAACCTAACATACTGAGGAAAGCACTTGAGTCTAATGGATCGAAATGTCTCTTTGTACACACTCTTCGATAAACGTCATGTAGCTGTAAGCATGAGAAAACAATTTCAGGGTAATTTAATTAGACTCGTACAACTCAACAATTTCAACAGACAACAAAATATACTGGAAACCATACACACCTTGCCTACAGTTATATCTTTACTCTTTCCTTCCCGAAGGATAAGGAGCAATGAACACACAGCAAGTTTCTGGTGCAATGGGAGCTCCTCCCCTCCATCTGCAATGCGCCCTAAACTTTGGGAAGTGCCGTAAACATCATTTACAACATTCATTATACTTGAAACGCCTATACAAGGCTCATTCACCAGAGGTGTTGTAATTAAATTAGTAGAAACATTTTCATCCTCATTAAAAAGAGACTTTTTGGCAGATTTTTGTTTAAGAGGTGAGCAATTTTCTTTGTGTGGTGAATTAAAATGACGTGGAGATTTGAAGGGGGACTTGTAAGGTGATTTCAAAGGAGACCTCATGGTACTCCTGAGAGGAGATTTGAGAGGAGACCTCCCAGAAGCGTTGATGGAGGATTTCATGGGAGATCTCACAGGAGATTTGAAGGAGTTGGAAGTTGCCTTCAAGGGTGACTTTATCCTTTCAAAGTTTTCTAGCCTTCCTCTTTCCTGAGGAGGTGCAACCTTGCGAGGTGATTTGCGAAGGGCCTCTGAAAAACATAGTAAGAAAATTAGGTGTCAAGGCATCGAAAGGTGTGAAATTTGAAAGAAATAATGTTGTGTACCTGAAGATAACTGCATATCTACTTCTGAGGGTGTTATCAACTCTGTAGCATTCATTTTCGCGTCAAACAGTTGTTGAGACTTATTCTCCACAGCTCTCCTAGCTGAGTCAAGAGCACGTCGTGCATCACCATTAACAGCTGAGAGTTTGTTAGCTAAAAGCTGAAGTGCAGCTTGGTTGAAAACATTAGAAGCATCAGCCTGTAGAGTCATAAATGAATAGTAAAGTACTTTTTCGATTACAGAGGAGAAATAATAACAATTCAAATTTACAAACCTCTTCTAATCTTTTGGTAAGAATGTCTTTGAGTTGCTCTCTGGTGTAAGGAGCAAAGTGAAGCAATTGAGGTGCTAACTGCAGTTTGGCTTTGAGCCGAGGTAGCAGACGATCTGTTAAATCTAGAGCATTGGCAATGCCTATCAGTATAATACCATGTGGATAATTAGTGGGCCACTCAAAAATTGTGTACAGAACTGATCGGCTTCGTGTATCCAACTGATCCATCTCATCTAGTACCATCAATCTGAAAATTGAAAAGTCCAAAGGATATTTAAAGTTAGGAGGTAAGTGAAACTGTAAACATGGCATCTTTCAGTGAAGGAATAAAACTCACATCATTTTATGATTTGATGAGAGGTGCTTTTCTATACCCTCCAGATAAGCTTTTCCTGATCTTGTTTTTACTTGAATATTCAGCTGATCTGCAATTCTTGACCAAATAGCTTTTGGTGACTCAATAGAAGTGCAGTTAATATTAACAACTTTAAATTGCCGTTTTAATTCAGGCTGCTCTAAAACTTTTGTCAAACAGGCTGTTTTGCCTGTCCCAGGAGGGCCAGAAATATAAAGAGATCCAGATGTTTTGTCTTGGAGATGGTTTTGAATGAAGCCATTAAGTTTTCCAAGTTCTTCTTCCCTTCCTGGTAAGTTGGTATTAGCATGGGTGTGCAAAGCAGTGCGAGCTTTTCCAAGAAGACCCTCTAGATCGGGGAACAAAGACTTGGGAGGCAATGCCCCTTGGCGTTTTCCTTCAACAGCTGGAGAGGTAAGCGTCAAGTTCTTTATTAGAGTTGATGGTGTGGCAGCAATGTTAGAAGAGGGGGAGCTGTTTTGGCCATTATTGGACTCAGTGCACTTTATCTTGGGCGGAGAGCATGGATCTGTGATGATGAGATGGTATACAATTAGTTTCAATCAACTTAAATTCTTGACAGCTAAACAAGAAACTAGTCTTAGAAAAATTATTGGTGAGAAAGATTTACCTTTGGCAGTTTTAGTCCTTCTTTTGGATGGAGTTGCTTCTGGTGATGTATCGAACAAGTCATCTATATTGTTTTCATCCAAAACAATAGCAGTGTCATCTTCACTTTTAGTTTTGCATATGTCCTCATGATTTGAGTCTGAAAATAGAATAAAATTATAAAACAGATAAGGATTAATATAAAGGACTGTATTTAACAGAAAAACACCATTCATACCAGTATTTTTCCTATTCCGAAGATTCTTAGAAGGTGTCACTTTACTATTGATCTTGACTTCTGAAAGTGAGAATGTTGAAAGGATTTTGAGATAAACACCAAAAGAAGGTCATGGGGATTCCAAATCAGACGTTAGCCGTTACCTGAATTATTTATAATGTTCCTTGTTTTGGTGGGAGTTTTCAATACATGAATGTGATTTGATACATCTTTCACATCATCCGCTTGGTCTTTACCAGCGGCTTTCACTGAGCGGGTTATACGAGAATCTGATACTGGTTTCCTTTCAGTGAAGTAAGACTTCAGATTCGTTTGACCTGGTGGCATTTTCTAGAAAAACAACCAATGTGGAGTTAATAGAGCTGTAACTGCAGCAACATACTCTACAACATGTACATAACCAAAAAATAATTCAAGCAAATTATGAATCAAATTTTGAGAAAAGGGACTTTAACACAGCAGACTGGGTATAGCATATAGCCTGACTTTACAGTAAATAAGCTTAAGCAACGTAATTCAGTGTTTCGTTTACAATGGGTGGTAGCTGAGCGTAAATTTAAAGGGCCAAGCAACAACAAAAAAATAAAAAAAAAGGACTTCTGCGGATCACATATAAAAGTGCATCATCTCACCGTTGAATAAAAGAAACAACTGCTAACTTTTCAAGAGACTAAACACAAAGTGATGGTGACAATGCTGACAAGATTGCAAAAGAAGGAGAAAGAGCCGACGGTTTAAAATATTTGTTGACACATCACTACTATCGTCCAGTCGGCAGAATTCGGCCTTTAGTCGGCTGGAAATTAAAGCCGAAAGCGCGCCAAAAAGCTACAAGTGACTTGTGGCCTAGAAGTAACTGACCACACGGCCAGAACCCACATTTGATTTATAATGTACCCCAAATGTTCTGTGTCTGAGGAAGAAGAAGTGACAGTTTTATTATATTTTTAAAGCACAATGATTCCTTATAATTATTAGTCAGTAATGAGAAAATTAGGATGGAAGAGTGTCAAGCATGGGGTCAAAGGTGGGAGTAGGAGGAGGGGGGGGGGGGGGGGGTTCCCCACCCCCACTTTCTTCTGCTGTTTTGTTTTGACGCAAAACTGCCGACAGCTGTAGTTGTTTGCTGGCACTTTGGTTTTGTACATTTTCGCATACACTTTGCTGCTCATGGTTGTGTCTAATTGAAGAAATAGTGTAGGGTTTGAAGTACTTTTACCATGACCGCGCACTGGGAAAGAATCCAAGCTTTAGATGTAATTGAAAAGGATGTCATAATTTGCATCCAAAGTGCAGGTAGTTCTGTGTTTAGTTGTTTATGAAGTAATTATTGAGAACTTGGCAGATTTGAATAGTCTCCCTTGAGAAAAAACAAAAACACCTTTATCCACTCATCAAAGCATTTACTTAAGTTGTAGAATACTTCACTAGAATCCAAAATCGTTTTGTAGGTTAGAAATCATATATTATTTTACTCTTGCACTTTAGATGTCTTATCTTTTTAGTTTTAATCTTGTAATTTTGGCGATGTTTAAATCTGACTTGTTCAAAGTGGCGCTTACTTACAGCTCTTAAACCATTCAGCTATCCTCTCAGAACCATAACACGGAAGCTAGTTTTATTTCATACACCACTTTAAACTGTTTTAGGCGCAGCACTGCAAGAGCTTAGTAAAGATAAATCCAATGTGAAGCAAGCAGAAACACAAACCAACCAATTTCTCAAAACTTTAAGTACAGTGGAGTCAAGACTTTATGAGCAGATTAATTATTTGACTCAGGTCTCTACAGGTAAAGTGGAAACTTCATGAGTGTGTTTTGAATTTCATGATGTCTATTGTGATATTAATCATCCCTGTTCACTTGCTTGTAGGTCAGCCACATGAAGGATCTGGTTATGCGTCACAGAAAGTACTTCAGATGGCATGGCATCGGCTTGAGCATGTAAGGAGTCGTGTCAATGAATTAGATAATTTAAAAAATACTCAGATTGCTGAAAGTGCTGTACGAGCTCCCAATTTAGCTCTCGGAATGGGAATGGGTCCCAATATGAATGTGATGCAGCCTCAGGTCCATCCCCAATTAATGCCTCCCAACAACAGTGAAACTCAAAACACTGGTTAGTCTAAGTAAAAAGGAAAGCCTGTATCTGTATATTTATTACTGTTTGACTTTTTCTTAGATTATACTTTTTATGGTTCGATTGTGGAAACACCATGCAACTTCTACATTTCCCTCATCCCAATCAATAAATTATCCACCTAAACTGTATTCATTAATTTATTTTAAAGTATGCAACTCCTAACACGGCAAGAACCAGGATGAGTTCCTCGGGTCCTTATTCCATATTATTTTGTCGCAATGGATTTTAATAATTTTCTTTGCTGTATATATGAAATATGGAAAATAAATATGAAGGAACAAATAGCCTTACACACATGGAATCAGCACAACAATCAGATGGAGATGGTTTTCAGTTCTATGAAGGGATATTAAGAGTGCGGGAAGCCTTCTGCAGAGCATTGAATTTATTCTTAATTGTTCTTTATTGATCCGGTTTTGTCGCCGGCCGGCAAGGCAGGCAAGGCCAGCCCCGATTTCTAAGCTCTAGACATCGATGGGATCGCAACTGTGCGAGCATGTGCCATGTTCTTCAGACGAATGAGAGGACGGTTTGTCGTGAACTCCGTTCCAGTGATTTGGCCATTTAGCAAATTTTGCTAGTACTTGCGGTATCTCGCTCTACTTGCCCCCCTCCACATCCTCTGAGTCCGCCCCTGTCGGTGGAAATCAAGGGGGCTCTGAGAATTAGGAGAAGAGCACGTGCTTCCCGAAAAACAGCACCAAAGATTATCGCGTCGGGTATGCAAGATAGTAAAGTATATTCTTATTCGGGGTGTGAAAGCCCAAGGTCACTCAATACGTCTAGAGTCAAGAACATATCAAATTTCTCAATTTGCGGCATCGCTCCCTGCCCCTAGCCGCTTCCGCTGCTTGAACTTCCTGCCCCAGCACGCCCAAGCCAACAATGACCTTCCGCCAAAGTAGTTCCTTAATTTGCTCATGATTCGGAATAAAACAAGTAAAAACGATTTTTGTTTCATTACGTACCGCATATTTTAGTAATTTGGTAAAATTTTCAATCCATTGTGGGACACAGGCCCCGTACTTTTTGACTCTACCATCAGCCTGGCCGTGAAGCTGGCGGAGGAATACTTTTGATGACGCAAATGCCGTAAAATTTCATCCTTTCCGTCGAACTGACCGTGAGTGGAACATGTCGAGTACATATGATAGAAGGTAAGATTTATTTTAACGTGGTATTGTGGACCAATTATCACAATCGAGTGCTTCATCGCTTTCGCGAAGCTTCTTTCTTCTTCAGTGAATATTTTCGAGGCATTCAATGAATAGGTATATTGATGTTTCTAAGTTATTTGCCAACCTGGAAAAGCACGGTCACTGCCAACATGGCGTAAGCCTACCCTCACCCTCACACTTCGAACTTGTGGGGTTTTTGCTCAATTCAGAATACAGAATTATGGTCATGAACTCTTAAAGCCCGAATTTTCCATAATTTTGCCGGTTCATCCGGTAATTTGAGTCCTGCGGATTGTTGATGAAGTCGGAGTCGCCGCTTGCTCAGCAACCATAAGATTTGTCATTGCAAAATGTGCCCAACCACGGGGTATTTTGCACTCAGCCGTTTAAATTTTCCACATAATCTTCTCATCTATCTAAACTTCCACCTCTTGCACCATCCCACCTTTACGTTTGTTTTGAACTATTCTGAACCGGTGAAGCCGGTCTCGTTCGGCGCCCAACGTGAGTGGTGTCCCAAATGAAGGTTATGTCAAAGTGGTTGAATTTTCGGGTGCTATTTGGGCTCATATTATTGATTAGGCGTCTCTGGGCTTATTATTTCGTTGTGTTTTCTTAGTTCCCTGCTTAACTTCCTACATTTGTTATGATTACAGAGAAGAGTGGCCTGCCGACCAAGATGGCAAGAGGAATGGGCCGAATGGGCCGAGCGGGCCTCCCAGTGGTGGTGAAGAAGTTAGCCAATACAATGGACCTCCAGGCATGGACCCCGATGGTATCATCGAGTCCAACTGGGATGAGGTACGTTATTTCTACACTTGCCATTTTACATTGTTTATGTTTCAATCAGAGTAGAGATTAGGGGTCTATCTGGTCATAATTTGCCATCAAATCAGTATGTGAAGCCATGTTATGCAATATTTATCATTATTTACCATTTGTCATCTCTTAAATGGTGTTTTTGTGCACTAGGTTGTTGACAGTTTCGATGCTATGGACCTGAAGGAGCCTCTGCTCCGTGGTATCTATGCCTATGGTTTTGAAAAGCCTTCTGCTATTCAGCAGCGTGCAATTATGCCATGTGTGAAGAAACATGATGTGATTGCTCAGGCTCAATCAGGTAATGTGTGGTGTGATCAGGCCCATATTTATTGGTTTGGAGGAGTCCAGAGTGTAATCATAATTCTTGCTTGTAGGTACTGGTAAGACCGCAACATTCTCCATCTCCATCCTGCAGCAAATTGACACAGCCAACCGTGAGTGCCAGGCTTTGATCTTGGCCCCTACCCGTGAATTGGCTCAGCAAATCCAGAAAGTTGTCATTGCTCTTGGTGACTTCATGAATGCCCAATGCCACGCATGCATTGGAGGAACCAATGTTCGTGAGGATATGCGTAAACTGGAAATGGGTGTTCACGTGGTGGTGGGTACTCCTGGCCGCGTCTATGACATGATCAACCGCAGAGCACTGAGTAGGTCCATTCACTTCAACACTGTTATTTACTTGTGTATGCTGATGAATGACCACTAGATATAACTATGTTTACTTAACTTCAGGAACATCCAGTATCAAAATCTTCGTTCTGGATGAGGCTGATGAAATGTTGTCCCGTGGTTTCAAGGATCAGATCCACGATGTGTTTAGGACTCTGAACACTGAGGTTCAGGTCATCCTCTTGTCTGCCACAATGCCTTCTGATGTGTTGGAAGTCAGCACATGCTTCATGAGGAAACCTATCCGTATTCTTGTGAAGAAGGAGGAACTTACCCTTGAAGGTACGTCTTTTTAGCCCTATTTTAACTGTTCTGGTACAGTTCCTTTCCATCAATTATGGATGAAGTTGTGTTATAGGTGGCATACTAATGTTTTTATTCTATATCAGGTATCAAGCAGTTCTTTGTCAATGTTGAGAAGGAAGATTGGAAGATGGATACCCTTTGTGATCTGTATGACACCCTCAGCATTACTCAGGCTGTCATCTTCTGCAACACCCGTCGCAAGGTCGACTGGCTGACTGAGAGTATGCACAAAAGGGACTTCACAGTTTCTGCCATGGTAAGTCCAGTGCAGTGACATTTCTATGTTTATTCACTGGTTGAACATGTATTTCTTAACTCTATTTTGCTCTTTACAGCATGGTGACATGGAACAGCGTGAACGTGATGTCATTATGCGTCAGTTCCGTACCGGCTCCAGCCGTGTGCTCATCACCACTGACCTCTTGGCTCGTGGTATTGATGTACAGCAGGTGTCTCTAGTTATTAACTATGATCTGCCGTCTAACCGGGAGAACTACATCCACAGGTATGTATTTAGCTTCCACATTAATGGAATGGTTTTGATTTTCCTTTACTAAATTACTGATTCTTGTCCTCTTGCAGGATTGGTCGTGGTGGCCGATTCGGTCGTAAGGGTGTTGCTATTAATTTTGTGACTGAGGATGATAGACGTACCCTCAAGGACATTGAGCAGTTCTACAACACCAGCATTGTTGAAATGCCGATGAATGTCGCCGACCTGATCTAAGTGGTTAGTGCCTATCTGTGTTACCTGAGTTCTGAGCGCGTGTGCGACCGCTGTTTCGAATGCGTGCCTCACAGGGCCCCTGGACGATTAGCGATTTATGTGACGTGCGATTTCTCCGAGTTATGTCGGTTTGTTCACTGGCGCTCTCCTCGTGGTACGCAGTGATAGTGCTTTACTTGCATTGGTCAAGTGGCGCAGTGTGGAGTGCTCCTAACATTGTGGGTTTGCTTGTGCATTGACACAGCAGCTCTTACTTCTCCCTCAGTATAACAGCATAGTCCTCAGGACTTGCCTTTGGTATTGGTCGTGTTGCGTGTACGCGTCTTCACAGTAATTGTTAGTCTAATTGTATATTTTATGGTATTATAAAGTAGTGTGAAAATCATTTCCATTCTTTGGAGCATTTTGCTTGTATTTCTCTTTGGCTACAGAGCAGATTACAAGTTTAGGTGTCCCAAAGCATTTTGTTAAAATGCAGTTCAAACCAGTAATTTTAAGTATTTTTTCTAAACTGGGTGTGTTCTTTGTAAGTTGTGTGTATTATCCCTTGACAAATTTCTATCATGTGTCTCTTATCGCTTTCTGTCAGTGTGACCTTGATTTACCAAAGCAGCCCTACACTGAATTTTATCAGATTAATTTTTGTGTTGCAAGGAGGAGCCTTTTATCATGCTTACCTTCTCAGATGTTTTGTTGTATAAGCCCTTCTGTTGTAGGAATTTGGAAGGGTTATATTAATCTCAAAAGATGCAGAAGACGAAACTGTGAAAACAAGTGTTGGTGTGTTTTGTATGCTATTGTGTAGATTAATAAAAATTTGTATCCGTCACCCTGTTTTATATTAGCTCCACATTGTCCTGCACTGTATCGATGCTGATCCTCATGATGGATTTTCTGTATTTCCAGGCATGTTTCATCAGTCCACCTGTGGGGGAAGAGTTTTTTGGAAATAAAGATCAAAATTTCAACGATGAAGTTCACCAAATCAGTGGTTTTATTTTGTGGCTATAAATCCTGAGCATACCTGCTAGCCCCTTGTCACTAATTTTAAACATAATTTATGCCCTCTGATCTGTGTTTTCCCCCTTTTTGAAACTTTAAATTTTATTTGTTTATTTTTTATGAACTTGTATTTTTTTGAGATTTATGGTTTTATATTTGAAACATTTCTGAATTGAACTGTATGGCTAGTTTTCCATTTTATTACTAATAAATTGGCAATTAAGACATGGAGTGATAAGTGTTTTATCTGTGACTCTGGCTGTGGTTTGTACTTACTCCTGTGTCTGAGATTTCTTTTGGAAATGGACTTAGTTTTATTAAGATATTAGTACTTTCCTATTGATGTGTTTCTTGTAGGCATTAGACAAGAGGAGATTCTATTCAGCATTCAAAATACAAGTTCCATTCCGATTTTTTAAAAGGGGCCAAGAATCAACTACTTTGATGAATAGATCATGTTCACATCTCCCCATTAAATTCTCATGCTATTTAAAATCTGTAAATGATTTTTTATTAATAAACTGCACATGTCATACTATGTAATGTAGTTTTTTCATCTATTGAAAGTATCGGGCACGCCCCTTAAATGTTAAGGCAAACCAATGCAAACTAGAAATACCCTTTCCAAAGCACCACAAAGGTTTACTGAGATTGTGAGGTTGAGGAACTCACCTGAAACTGGCACTTCTAAACATCTCTTCATGTGAGAACAACGGCACAAGCAAAATCTAGTCCTTAGAAAACCTTAGTAAGTCAGAAAAGAAATTTGAAATGGCTCAAGTCCTTTTATTAAGCACCGAAGCCTACCAAACACTTACTATTCTTTTCTAGAAGAATGCTTAAGAAACTCATATCTCACTTCAAAATTTACCGCGAAGCTATCCGCCACCCAAGTGATGCGTCT